TCGCTCCCATTGGCCGAGCCTTTCCCGCCTCGCCGGGCTCCAGCCAATCAGAGCACTGAAGGGAGGGAGGGGAGGCGGGGCCGGCGCTGCTTGGGCTGGAATGGAACCGACCAATCAGAGCTCGTGCAGGGTGTGGCCACGCCCCGAGGGCGGAGCTGATTAAAGCACCGCCCCAAACTCCCAAAGCCACGCCCCCTCGCTGTAACCGCGCCGCGGTCCTAAAGCCCCCCGAAACCCCAAAAACCCCAAATTCGGCCCCAAACCGAGCTCTGGAACCCCAAAATCGACCTCAAATCCACCCCCCCAAAATCCAAACTCGCCTTAAAACTCCTCCAGAGACCCAAAAATGTCCCCTAACCGACCCCCGGAGCCCCAAAATCGACATAAATCCCCCTCAAAACCACCAAACTGGCCCCAATCCCAAAATTGACCCCAAAACAACCAAACCTGCCTTGAAACTCCCCACAACCCCACAATCCTCCTCAAACTCCCCCTGGAGCCTCAGGATTGTCCCCGAGTCCCCTCTGGATCCCAAACGCCACCCAGAACCCCCAAACTCTCCCTGGAACCCCCGAAAGCAGTGACAGCGACAGTGACAGCGACACCGACAGTGCCACCCCACACGTGCCTGCCGAGACCCGGCGGTGACAGTGACAGTGACAGTGACAGTGGCACCGCACACACGCGGGACCCGGCGGTGACAGTGACAGTGACAGTGACAGCGACAGTGACAGTGACAGTGACAGGGACAGTGACAGTGACACCGGCAGTGCCACCTCGCACGCGCCTGCCGGGGCCCGGCGGTGACAGCGACAGTGACAGTGACAGTGCCAGCGCCACCGCACACACGCGAAGCCCGGCGGTGACAGTGCCACCGACAGTGCCAGTGCCAGCGCCACCTCGCACGCGCGTGCCGGGACCCGGCGGTGACAGTGACAGCGACAGGGACAGCGACAGTGACAGTGACAGTGACACCGGCAGTGCCACCTCGCACGCGCGTGCCGGGGCCCGGCGGTGACAGCGACAGTGACAGTGACAGTGACAGTGACAGTGCCACCGACAGTGACAGTGACAGTGGCACCGCGCACACGCGGGACCCGGCGGTGACAGCGACAGTGACAGCGACAGTGGCAGTGCCAGCGCCACCTCGCACACGCGGGTCACCCCACGCCGCTGCCACCACGCGCTGCCGATGTCCCCGTGTCCCCCCCACCCGGGCCGGGGGGACCCGCGAGCGGCGCTGGGG